CACGATAACTGTAGCAGATAACTTTAAAGTTTTAAGAGAGTGATACAAGTGATACAAACTAGGCAGCACTGGATAGGTTTCGTCCCAATGTGATATACCTCATCAGCATGTATTCACTACCCACATCGTGTGATTAAACAAATGACCTTCAGTTATGCGAGCACTTAGCCTCTAAATCACTCAACCGGTTTACAATGGTATTAATGTCTCATTTCTGTCGGCCAACTTTGAAAGCTTGCAATAAATAACTGTATTACACTTGATGTAATTGGATTTTATCATTGAAAACTTTCTTCTAATTTTTATACACAAATCATATTTACCTAATATTGTAGGGCAAAAAGAAACTACATTTCTCAATAATGTACTTCATATATAATGTCAAATATCATGACATTGATCTTTTGAAAATACCACATGGAAAAGAATGAAAAATGATAGTTTTATTTTATAAATAAAATAGATAATTGTAAAAATTGTCTATAGAGTTAAGAATTAAAAACAGCGTAAAAATTTGTTGTCTTAAAACTAGTCTTCACTAATATTTATTTACAATAAAATTAAACTTGTAATTGACCAATTTACTTTGATTTCATTTTTAACTAAAAGCTTTCACTGGTAATTAATGAAAATTAACCCACTTATAAGCAAGCATTCACAATATCAATGTAAAATTTTAAATTAAGCCGGAAACGGTAGACATAAATTTGTTTTGTGTTGAATAAGCACACAGAGATAGATAGATAGATTTATATAAATAGATAACAAAATTGAACATGTAATTAAGTAGTCATACTCCTACTCCTGTTATCACTACTAATACTACTACTACTATTACTACTCACACTATGTTGCTGTTACAACAACCATAACTGCTGACATAATTCATTGGCATGACATATTATGCAACTCTTATCATGGTATGTTTACTGAAGAGACTATTATTCCTACCATTTAGCTAACTATATATATATATATATATATATATATATATATATATATATATATATATTGGTCGCGAAAATCAAGATCACATGTTACTCTTAATTGCAATCATGCTTTAATCTTGATGTTATTATTAAAATGAACATGATAATAGAGATAATTTGACTAACTGACTGACCAAAAACGAACATTTCTAATGTCAAACATAAATCAATAATAATGTTATATAACTAAATTGAGTTCTTAAACCTGCATTAAATGTAGACTAGAAATATATATATATTTCACAGATAATATATATATATATATATATATATATATATATATATATATATATCAACATAAGACAACAGCTTGGAAAAGAAAATGTTGTGTTTTTTTTTGTGTCTATTGTAAAACTACGCATAATAAACATTTATAGAATAAAGGATGTAACCAATCAGCAGTCCTCCAGGCAATATCAGCATTTAGATCATAACGAAAATATATTTGGGGACATAATGATGTAAATTTGAATGGCGAGAAAGTATAAAAAAAAATGAGCGAGAAAAATATACAAATCATGAAATGGTAAAAAACTTAACTAGTTTGAGTAAATTTTTTTCTGTGTGTTTTGAATTTTTGTTTTCTTTTAGGAACAAAATAATTGTTATTGTATTATTCAGGACAATAACAAAAAATTTATATATATATGGGAAAAGTGAACTTCACATGAAGGACACCATTTAATAATCTTATCAAAGTATAGATTATTTTTTGAAGAGAATGTCATTAGATAAAGAGACTGTGTAGAGATGGCTTTAATTTTTATATATAATACTCTACATGAATTGATTTCACTGAATGGTACCACTTAGTGACCTGGTTCTTCTATCTCACATGTAACAACAAATGCAGGAGAAGACAACAAGTGTAGCAGCAGCCTCTGCATCAGAACGTATCAACATATATATAAGAAAAAGCAAGATTCTCCGATACATCACAACATGCGCTAACCAAATCATTCTTGAAGGACACGCCTTGTAGCGCGTTAACACCTTTACATATCTAGGTAGCATCATCGACAATCAAGGTGGATCCGATGCAGATAAGAGGGTGCGGATCGGCAAAGCAAGATCTGCATTTATACAATTGAAAAATATCTGTAACTCTAAACAAATAAACCAACACCAAAATCAGAATTTTCAATACAAATCTCAAGACAGTTCTACAGTATGGAGCGGAAACATGGAGAACTACAAAAGCCATCATCCGGAGGATACAAGTATTTATGAACAGTTGTCTACGCAAAATACTTCGGATTTGTTGGCCAGACACTATCAGCAACAACTTAGTGTGGGAGAGAACCATTCAGATTTTAGTGGAGGAGGATATCAGGAAGAAGCGGTGGGGGTGGATAGGACACACACTACGAAAAGCACCTAAATGCGTCACAAGACAAACCCTCAAGGTGAAAAGGAAGAGAGGAAGGCCAAGGAACACATTACGCCTAGAAATAGAGAAAGACATGAGAAGAATGAACTAAAACTGGAAAGAACTAGAAAGGGAAGCCGAGGACAAAGTTGGTTTAAGAAAATTGGTGGGCGGCCTATGCTCCATTGAGGGTGACAGGCGTAATTAAGTAAAAGTAAAAAGTAAGGATATCACTGGAAATTATGAAAACACTAAAAAGCTTTTCTTTTTTTATCTATCAGTTAGACTCAACAATTCATGCTAAGAAATGCACTAGGTATTGAATTGAATGCAGGACCTATGGTTATTGTGATGAATATTTAATTGTCAGAATTATTTCATACCATCATGTCCAATGGTACATATCTCCAGCTGCAGTTAATTTGTACTAATTCACAACAATAATTTATATTCATGGATTGTAATAATTTGATTCTCTATTACTGAGTAAATATCCTCTGCATTTTGTTTATTTACAATTCGATAATATTGAAATCCTATTCTACATCCAGTTTTATAGTAATGAATCTTACATTGATTGAAAAAAAGCAAATGATTTAGGGTACTTAAATGTCAACTAATTTACTTTTTCACTTATCAAAATGAATTTAACTTATGATAGAAATGTGACATTTTGTAAAAAAAAAACAGAATAGTTCAAAGTTTTCAATTAGTATAAGATTTTAAGTATTTCAACTGAAAAAAAAGGTCAAACAACAGTGGGTGTTTTGAAACTTGATTATTAATCCACCCCATTTTTAGAAGTAGACAATTATTGATTGATTTATTGTACTTCAAATCGACCGTACTACACTTTCAATGTAAAAGAACACAGCCATTTATGTCGTATACTGTAGACGTCATTTATTTAAGGTGAAAGATGACGTTTGTATAGATATTTAAGGAGAGGCTTTTTTTAGAAACTTTTTAAAATGTAAATTCTCAAACTATTAACAACTAACTAATCTTAATGCCTTAAATAACTTGGAACTATTTATCTAAATCAATATGGCTAATTATTTTCTATCAAAAAAATTGAACACTATGATTCTGTCGTGTATATGTAAAATGTTGAACTTTGAATTTAAATTGTTTAAAAACGAAATTATTGAACATTTACTGATTTATTTGAAAAACTCGAAGAATTATATGTCATTTCACAAACAATTTTTTATTTCCGCTAGAAACTTTTTAAAACAATATCTTATTGATATATAATTCAAAGTTTTTGATTCTTTTTTTTCAAGCTTAAACAACGATATTTCGGGAATCGATAATTTTTAAACGTAGATAAAGTTTTGTTTGTTATCTGATCACCTTTTAACATTTATATGTTTATATGTAAGTTTAAACAATGCGATAACCTTATATCTCACCGAAAATTTAAATTTCGCACACAATATTTGTTCAATAGCCTTGAACATTTAAAAAAAATTGACATGTTATACTAAAATGTTAATTTTTTTGAGATCAATCATTATAAGCTAAATAGAATGAAATATTTGAAAAAAATTTTAGTGAATAATTCTATAGAAAATAGAAAATTATTTAACTCTTTTTTGAGTTATGGTGTTTTAAATTTCAATCAAAATCTCAGGTGACCTTACTATCTATATCCTGTACATATATATATATATATATATATATATATATATATATATATATATATCAACCATATGGAAAGAAACATTCTGAGGATTGAGTTCGAACTAAATAAAGTCATAAGGTTTACTCAACTCAGTACAGTAACATTTCGTTTGTCATAGGATCGAAAAATAACTAAAAGTTCTTTCAATGCTCTTGACTTGTTTATATTTATAAATTTTAATAAATCGGATATGTTTTTCTTAGTACAAAGTATCTGAGAATAAGAATAACAATGTTATGCATTAGAAAACATGTGTGATTAATAACATAATGTTTTCGCATAACCTCAAAATATTAAGATAATAAGTGATAGAACGATCCAATTACACTTGCTTTTCTAATCAATTCACACACAGCTAACGTATTAACATTATACTCAGATTATATCAGCTATTGGAGTTGTGAATCGATTTCAGTGATACTACCATAGAAAAAAAACCTGACAGCGGTCTCGTTTTAATCTGAAACTTCTTAGCAGTAGGGGATCCATGACCCTTAATGCACGAATTGAATCGAAGACTCTTAGCCTTGCGTATGGAAGCTTAACACCGGAAAATACGTTTATATAAACATACATATACACTAATATGTAGATGCAGCAAATGTTCTTAATTAGGTTTCTGTCGTTCCGCACAATTATGCATTTTAGTAATTAAATAATATTTATCATTCAGCAGAGTGACACAATTCTATAACAACTTCACTAGTAGAATAAAAATTGTGGTATTATCATGCATTGACTCTATTGTCAATTTGTACAATCCTAAGCTTTTAATACTAAGGAATAATCTTTAAAAAAAACACTGTCTAAAAGTTTTCTTTAACTGTCATCAGATAAATTAGAACATAAAAAATATTAGTTGATATTTTCAGTGACTACTGGTGAATAATATATTAATGAAATTCTGTAAAATAAATTTAACAGGTTGTTCTAAATGATCGAAGCTTTCTTTTATTCAGTAATTCGGAATAAACAAGTCAGTCACCTAGATAAATATTACTTCATTAACAACTATTTTCACAGTCTTTTTACTTCAGTGTATTTCGGCTCGCTTGTCAATTCATCCATCATACAAATTCATCATATTGAAATTTTCATAAACATTTAAAGTGTAACTTATAATCAACTGACTGCTTGAGAAGCGATGATATGTGGATAGCTGACACAGCAGAGTATAACAAAACTGTATAACTTTCTTTACTCATAAATATATTTAGCGGTATGCAATCTTTGAACAATTCATTCACACATACATATTGATTACTAGACAAGTAAACCAAGCGATTTCTTAAATATGCAGTCATATCAAGGGTTATTATTATTAATATTATCCAAATTACACATTTTTTGAAACCATGAATCGATCAATGTTAGACCACCATTAGAAACCTGGAAGCACTGGACAGCCGTTTCGTCCTAGTATGGGACTCCTCAGTAGTGCGCATCCACGAATCCTGCACCTCGCAGGATCCGAACCCAGGACCTTCGGTATTGTGCGCGAACGCCCTAACCGTTAGACCACTGAGCCGGTATCCAACGGTGTTAATGTCTAACTTGATCAAATGACAATCAATCCATCAAAAACTAATCATAATTAAATAAATATCATTTCAACAAATAAAACTTACTTGTAAATGTTTTTCCAGCAGAATTGCTGCTACAACAAAAACATTTCCAATGACTGTGCATAAAATTAATAAACTAAGTATAATAATTGTTATCCATAAACGTTCCAGCCCAAAACGTGCATGAAATTCAAAATATGATCGTGTTATGGTGAAATTATTTTCAGTTGTAGAATTATTCATTTTTTTCTCCACCAAGATTTTTTTATATAGATTTTAAAATGAAAAAGTTAAAGTGTAATTTTTCTATGTGATATCTATGTATATAAATATATGTATACCTATTGAAGATATATCAGTAAAATGCTCTATTTGTTTTCATATCCAACCATCTATTCGTTCACACTGTTCAATTTATAATGTATAATTCTACATAATTGTTTTTGCCCAACTGAACTAGAACAAGCTTCAAATAAGAAATTGACAATTTAATGGTGTTCTTTTATCATTTGAATCAAATCATTTCAATGTTTTTCGCTTTTTTGGTGATTTAATTCACTATTTTTTAATAAATAAAAATTTTCCCAATTGTACACGTTGTTATTTTACAATAATCATATTGACCAATCAGATGAAGCGTTTCGAATCAACTAGTCTGTGATTGGTTTATAAAATTTAAAATGGTAAAAATTATTGGGAATTTCTTTTCTAATCGAACTGCTGAAAATCACCATTTTTTTTTTATTGCATAAAGTATTTTCATGTAACTTTGAAGAAATTTTTTTTCACACTAGAGAGGTTGAATGTTCTTAGTATAAGAAAAAGCCTGTTATTTTATAACAACTTAAACTCCTCCTATCAGTTCCTGTGTCATACTGATACTGATAATTATCTTACAAGGAACATAGAATTTATTTTGATTTTTTGCCTAGTTATAATTTCATCATGATTGATTCAGACGATTGTGCAATAGATAGTAGAATGAGAACAGATTATCAGATTTATTTACCAGTCACTGTGTTGATGATTGTCTATCATAAGACACAAAAAAATATCGTCAAACAGTTGTATAGTTATTTACTAAACTATTAAATTTGTGCCATTTACGCCATATAATATTGTAAGCCCTATGACCGAAGGTCCTGGGTTCGAATCCTGCGAGGTGCAGGAGTCGTGGATGCACACTGCCACTAATGAGTCCCATAGACCAGGACGAAATGGCCGTCTTTCAGTGCTTCCAGATTTCCAATGATGGTCTAACAATGATTGATTGATTGCTGATTTCAAATGTGTAAAAAACAATTATCTGTTGGGGACGTTAGATCCCCAGAACTCGCTTGATAAATGCCTTATTTTGGATTTCACGTTTGCGAGCATGGACTGATCAGTTGAGCTTGAGATTTAATTTCCCACCTGGAAATCCTTGGCTGTGATTGGCTGCTGTGTATTTTAGTGTGCTGTTCATGTGACTGTCCCACAGACGTTTCTTTGATGTATAAATAAATAAGATTTGTATGCTTGAATGCATGTGTGCTTGCTGGCTGTTTGTAGAATATATTTTCTAAGCTATATCAAGACTTCTGGTTAGTTGTCAGATCACAGGAGCCTACCTGGATGCTGGTTCTTTGTCTCGTTCGTCTTTATCGACTAAGATGAACCATTGATAGCTTCAAGTGTACTTAGTGACGAACTTAACACTATCTCCATAACATTAATTAAAGAATAAACCATAGAAATTGTTTGATTTATATAGAAAAATAAATTCCATAAATATTTATCATCCCACAAATTATTAGTGTTAAGCACATAAATAACAATAATTGCACTTTAGAATAAATTTTTTTCCCCTAAACGTTTTCTTTCTTTTTTTCATACTTGCCTATTGACAATTGAATCGTATTGTCTTGTCGTGTATACATACATTGCTTGATCAAGTTTTTTTCTTTTGAAGTTTAAAAAATTGCACTGAATATGAAATATCAAAATAATCCAGTCATTTTCAGTGACCACAATCAATAATTCACTCAAACAATGAACAAATCACTCTCCCTTTAGCATAATAATAGTAGGTCAATTGTATAACTTAACTTACTAGAGAGAATTTAAAAAAATGCTTTCAATCAATTTTTTTTTCATTATTTGTATTTGTTAATAATAGATCACTGATTCTATTAAAATAAGGTTAAATTGAGTAAAAGTTTTAACTAAATTGAAATTAGTAGATAATTTCAATTTAAAGATAATTTCCTCATAAATCAATAAACTATGATTTCTAGATTAGATGAATATATATATATATATATATATATATTCGGGCAGAGTTTTGGAGGTTTGTGTTTTACACATTTGATATCATCAATCAATGATTGTTAGACCACCATTACAAACCTGGAAGCACTGAACGACGGCCGTTTCGTCCTGGTATAGAACTCATTAAACAAATTTAATTTAGAACTAATATTGATCATCTTAAATCATTGAAAATTTATGACTCAGCTTGTAAAAAATGAAAGTTTTTATTTTTAAATGAAAGTCCTTGATAGTGAGTGTGACCTTTAGAAGTGGTTTAATCAAACAAAAAAACATGACTAATGCTCACATTGGAAAATATACATTATGATCACAACTCTCATACTATTTATTATATAGAAAATATATATATGAATTGTGATGTTTGTATATAAACAGTGATTACTTTGTACACACTATTATTCTACACCTGATTTGAAGCTGAAATACAATACTTTCATTTGTGATCACTGAAGTTCTTTCTGAGTTCAATGCTGGTTCATACATAAATTGTTAGAGTATGGATTCGACATTTCTGGGTGTTACTAATTCGCCTGTGGGATACAATTCCTCTTGATTGTTACAGTTATTTTCCAATTGGGTATAATTCAAATACTTGAAATTACTGTTCAATTCTTAAAGAAATGTCAATGTCAACATGAATCATAGTTATTAATTTATCGAAAATCAATATGTCATTTGAGTTGACAGTGACGATTCATTGTCAACGACATGTCCTAAGTATTGTGGTACCATTTAGCATTCGTCACTAAGACTTTCTTAATGCAATGAACTCTCTTCAATGGATTAGAATCCATATTATTGAACTTCACACTTAAAGATATTACTGTTGAGTTAGTTATTCACTCAGTAACTAACTTATTGTGTAATTGAAATATATATATATATATATATATATATATATATATATATATATATATATTAACCATTAGTTCGGTTAGTAATCAGTCATAAACTAACTGTAATCATAATTTTTTTTCTTCTCACAAAATAAAATAATCTAGTTTTTAATGTGTCTACTTACTGTTTGTTATTTTAACATTCTATTTGATCATATAAAAAAAAATGTCTCATGAGAATTACATTTCATTTCAATTTTTTTTTGTTTGTCTGATGAAGCTAACAGCTATTTTCAAATATAAAAAATAAACTGTTTTATCTATATTTTCTTACAGATATGACGAACTTTTTGTTTGTTGGTCGAGTTAAAACATATAGAATTTTTAAAATTCTACAGTACATTAAATGATTTCAGATATGTTACGCTCGTCACTTAGTATGCTTGAGGCTATTACGAGTTTACCTTAGTCGATAAACGCGAACGAAACAATTAACCAGGGTCCAGGTAGGCTACCTTGAATCCGTGGCTGAAGTAAAAAGGCTTTGTATGCGTAGAAAGTATATTCTACAAACACCCAGCAATCACACAATACAATCAAGCATACAACTCTCGTTTATTTATACCACATAGGAACGTCCTTGAGACAGTTAAGAAAAAAGAACACTAAAATACACAGCAGCCAATCACAGCCATGGATTTTCCTGGTGGGAATTGAAATCTCAAGGTCAACTGATCACCCCATGCTGGCAAACGTTAAAACCAAAATAAGGCATTTATCAAGCGAATTTTGGGGATCTGACATCCCCAACAGATGTGACTGTTACTTGTGAGCATATCTTGTAAATCATGTCTAAACCTGGATTTTTATTTGAATAAACGCTGTTCAAAATATCACATTTTGATGCTCATAGTGTGGTTCTTTTTAATGAAGAGCTACAGAAAATAGTTTGATACACTTTCATAAACTAGAAGAATGTTGAACGCTGAACATTTGTAAACGGAAGTAATTTAAAAATTGAATAAAAGACCAAACAATATAATCCTAGAATTTTGGGAAAAAACTTCACGCTGTATATCAAAACAACTATTTATCATTTAATGTTAACGACGCAGATGCTTAAAGATTGTTTTAATTTAAAGGTAGTGTTATTTACAGATTGAAGTCAACTGGAGTGGCATAAAATTCAGGGTATACCGAACATGTGAAGCCTCCTGGTTTTAAGCCGTCGTGACTCACTCTAATGATTAAATCCAAACAGGAAGACATATGAGTCATGGGTTCGGCTCCTCACAGAATAATGAGTCATTATTCTTTCAGTTACATAACAGCGTGAAATGAATATCCAGTGCTCCTTGGTTTTCAATGATATTCTGACTAAAATGGGTATGTAGTAAATGCCAGTCACAAATTTAAATGTTTGACAATTAAATCACTATGTGGCTGACTTGCAACAAAGTATCTGATCTAAAGATAACAACAGCCAATAAATGAAAAAGGCTAAACATTTAGACATTATCTAAAGTAGAAGTTGTTTTATTTTCTTATATTTCTTCTTATGTCATAATTTCATTGTGTAACTGTCATTAGTTTTTTTGTCCGTAAATTATATCAAAAATATCAAATAGTTTTACTGAAAATTAAAATGTTAAACATGGCCGGTAAGAGTAGAAGATAATCGTAAGTTACTAGTATTCGATTGTAAATGTCTTGGAAGCATTGCTCGTTGATCGTTGGACAACCAAGTATACAATGCTGTCGTTAGGAAACGGGTGCTATGTAGGGATGGCAGATCAGTAGATGACGTAGTGTATCTTCATCATTTGAGGTGGTTGGGACATGTGTTACGAATGCCCAACCACCGACTGCCTCAACGAGCGATGTTTTGTGGTGTACGTTAAGGATGGAACAAAGTTAAGGGCGGCCATAACAAAAAATGGAACAAATCCATGAAGTCACTGACAGGTGGACTGAGTTATGTTTATAGATGAAGGCTACCTGGTTGAATGAAAGTCACCGATGGTCAGAGACCTTGAACGACATGGCTCAAAATCGTTTTCAGTAGCGCAAGTGCATCCATTCTTTGTGCTCTCT